TGTAGTATTGAATTACATTTGGAATTTAATGTTTTTATTGGTTGATTGACTGTCAAATTTTAATAAACTCTTGGTGATTATGTTCTGTATTATTGTTTCGCCTTTATCGGTTGACCAATTGTTGAACTGCCGTAAACTCTTGCTAATTATGGTATATGGTTGGTGTTGGTGCTTTGTTTTTACAGTTGTAGAATTGCAGTTTGCTTGCTTTAAATACATTTGGTAACACTTTTTGTAATGTGCTATGTGTATCTCCAGGTTCCACTCTTTGTTTAAACAAATTAAGTTATCACAGTTCCTGATATAAACACATCAGTGCCTCATTTGCTTAATTCCCAGATTTGCTTTCAATGCTGAACTGTTGTCAGTCAGCCGTTTAATTATTTCTGTCTCGGGAAAGAAGTCACGAAAGGAATCGAGACAGTGAATAAATCATCTGATTAATGTATAATTGACATCATGTGTTCATATTAAATTCAGACAGACTTCTCCCACAGGAATTGCTGTTATGGGGAGTAGTTCGTAGCTGGATATTGTCCAGGTATTGCTGCTGCTTCTGAGCTGATGTCAGACTGAGGGTTCTAGACGCTGGAATGTAAACAAAGATGGCCGAAAATTTTAGGCTAGCACTTTTTTCCAGTGCATCACACTTCTCTCTGAAGCTTTTTCTTTGTTCAGTACATCTGGTTTTAAGTGGTTCTAAATGTAGAAATACATTTTTATGAATCATGATCTCTATGTGAAACCATTCACCCACGCAGATTTTTTTTTTGTTTTTGTTTTTTGTTTTTGTATGTATGGTTGGTGAATGATGGTATTGGTCAAATCTGGGATCAGAAATCAAGTGTTTGACCACTTTCTAATTGATGGGCACTTTCTAATTGAAAGTTTGACACTTTCTAATTCCAAATGTAATTGATTCAGAGCAGATAGTTTCATCCCTTTTGCTCTCTTGATTTCTGTCTGAGCAGGCATGTCAAGTTTAAGTTAATTGTGTCATCTGTGTAGTTCATTCTGTGCAACTTCTTTCTATTTCTGTGACTTCAGACATTGGGTTCAATAAAAAGCTTGTGAAAATCGAATGTGTATTAAACGGTTTAACTTGGGTAATAGTTGATAAATGTTGCTTCTATCATTAAGATCTTTCAGGCATTCAGATTTTTAATGTTCATTATTAAATCAACTAAAAACAAACAGTTAATATGATACAGAAAACATGATATAATGCTTAATTGTTGAGTATTAACGTTAATTTTAGGTAGTGGTTGTTGATAGTTTTTTTTTCTCAGTTTTCGAAACTTTGAACTGACTTTAAGCCCACAGAGATTTCAGTATACGTTAAAATTAAAAACATATTTGAATAATTTAGCCAGAATTCAGAGTTTCAGGTTTCTGAAATCAATTTCTCGTTCCCTGCAGGTGTTTCTGGTTAGGCGTGGTTTAGCTAGGGACGTTATGACCCTCTAGTTTCTCTCAGTAATACAGAAACCACAGTCTCCTATGCCCTCAATGCAACCCCATCATTTAAATGAAGTAAGATTGAGGCGTCTGAGAACAGGCATCTTCATGAGATCGATACTGTTCTTTTGTGCTTTCATTGTTACCCTCCCCCACTTGGGCCTCACTTATTTCCGGCCTATCCTCCCCATTGTCGTTTTGCCTGCCTCTTGAGGTGATTGGCAGGTGTGAAATGTTGCTGCATTGTTTCAAGGCCAACAGCTCACGTGTCATCGAAATACAATGTCAGACCTTCTCAATGTCAATCCAAGGTATCCAATTCGGCATTCATTCACTCGCTCACTTCTGAATACCTTTTGAAAAATAAAACTGACCCACAAAAGCATTTCACACCTTTATTACATCTTTGTTACTTTTAACGTGATTGTTAGGTGCTTTCAAGTAAGGACTCATATGCTGTCGGTTAGGTTCCTCATTATGTTGGATGTTTATCTTTGCATAGCTCTGATGTTAGTCATTCCTTCTATTTTACCACCAAGTTTGATGTAACATTTAGAGCCTAAAATTCATATCCAACCGACTCTTTTATGGTACATTTCTCCACCCTGAATTTGAGGTACAGTCAGATCTCTACATTCTCTTCTTCCACCCGCTTAAAACAGATAAACAGATGTGTTTCCATTGTATGAGGGTGGGGGCTTAGGATGAATCAGCAGAATTTGGGGCAAAAGGATCTATGGTTCTATCCATTAGTGACAGCTGAAATCCCCTAAAGGGGAGATCTCAGAGCAAGAGTTAAAATCTTAATGATTGGTTCCTGTTTACCTGGTGATTTCTTAGGATTCCTTGGTTATAGTTCACCCAAAATCGAAAATTCATATGGATTAGTTTTACGATCTCTTTATGAACGTTTTGAAACGTCAAAGCGGTAGTTACTTAGGCTGTCAATGGAGGAACAAAAAGCTCTCAGATTTCATCAAAAAGATCTTCATTTGTGTTACAAAGATGAACGAAAGTCTGGAAGTTTGGAAGAACATCACAAGAGTTGTTTTAATTTTTGACCAAATTTTAAAGCTACACTGTTTTTTTTTAACCCCCATCTAGCGGTGAAAAGGTATATGACCATCTAGTGAATATTAGTTTCTGTTCCTCTCAATTCCGATTTCGTTTTAACTCCTACGGTGGCCAATGTAGTCCAAGATTAACATGGCTTCCAGTTCGACCTCGTCCATGAGTGTTAACTCAATCGTAAATGCGAAAGGCGAAGCTTGAATTAATGGGTATGTCCCTCTTTGGCTAATGTACTTTCAAGATGGAGGGGCAACATGGCGACCAACATTAGACCCCCTTACCCATAGATATGTATATAAAGGCTAGATGTGTCGTCAGCGCTGCTGGCCAATGGAGGTCGTCGTCTGCACCTGGCGGCCATCTTGTCACAGGCAGCTCGCTCACTCGTAACATTGTGGTAATGGTACATGTACTATTTAAATGACCATAACTTGCTCAATTTTCTACTGATTTTCAAAAGGTTTGGTTTGTTATAAATGTCAGAGATGTAACTATGACACTGCATACTTATGAATAGAAAGTGTATAAATAAATAATCATCCAAAAAATAATCATCCAATCATCTTACATCAGCTTGTCTGTGACAAGATGGCCGTCGGTGATGACGATAGAAACTCCGCCGTAGCACATCTAGCCTTTATATACATATCTATGCCCTTACCCGTATGTATTTTCAATGGCGTATTATACACTCGCGAGAATACTTTATTACTTGAACGAAGTAGATATACATTAATGAGCACATATATTTTTGAAAGAACTAAGTGTTTTTAGCTAAGAATAAACTAAAAGAGTTACACATTGTAGCTTTAATTTTTGGGTGAACTATCCCTTTAAGCATTACTTTGAGGTATTATAAAGACCTAGAATGGTATGGAGTGCTGGGCGGCTGTTTTTTTTTACAGACTGGCAGGTAAAAGGGACATTGATAGTAAAATAATGGGTAAGGGAAAAATAAGGGTGTGTTCTGAGTACCCAACTGAAAATAGAGAAGAGGCAAGCCATTTGAGAGATTTATTGTATGGCACTCCTCAAAAACGTGCATATCCTGTAATTAACCCTCTGCTGGCCCCCAGCATTGCCTTTACCCCCCCCCCCCCCATCCCCCGCCCCCTCCTTTCATTGGAAAGAATGAGCAATTTAATGCTGCCCATTGCTCAGCTACCATCTCCGTTTTTTTGGCCTGTGCGTGATTAAATAGCCTGACTTTTCGGCACATGATGTAACTTATATCATATCATAAAGGTCCTTCAGGTATTCACACGTTTCGTTATAATATTGCTTTAATTAAATCCAAAGATCTGATTAAAATACCATTTTACATTTACATATTTAATGAATCATAAAATGAACAATGATCGTTCACAACAGTGTATTGGATCACTGCATACAGACTGTTTTGGAAGGTTCTAGCTTGATACTTCCACTGCACCACTTATAATGTATATTGACTACTTTTTATAGTATTTGAAACAGAATTCATTATGCAATGACAGACTTTTAAAAGTATAGTATGCTGTATTGTTAAAAAATGTTCCTCTCTATATCACCTCATCATGTTGCAGTGACCAGTTATCGTCTTTTGCATTGTAGACATTATTATAAAACATTATAATAAAACAAATATGTTTAGCACCTTTCATACATAAAATGCAACTTATAGTGCTTCACAGATGACATGCATATAACAAGATTAACAAACAAAAAATGTAATTGATCAAATACTGAATCGAAACCTGGCACAGGTATTACTGTGGCTCATTCACTGGAGTGTAAAAGTAAGGTCTTGCATATTGCATTGTTGTGTTTACTGTTCTGCACAATGTGCTTTGTTTACTGCTCATTTTGGAAAGTATAGTTGGTCTTAGTATGGTAGGTAGCATGCTGTTCCAAACATGGCCATGGTAATAGCTGGAATGGATAGATGTGCTTTTTTTATCTAGTGTTTGTTAGAAGCAACAGTGCACTTAATGTTAATAAATATGTTTCAACCACGTAATGGGGGGTTATGCACAACTTTGTTGCATGGCTTCCGGTTCAGGTCTTTGTATGTGCTTTGTTAAATACTGAGCTGTTTTACTAAGATAACTTCAAAGTTGGAAGATGAGCATAACCAGTTTTCTTCTTACTAACATTTAGATATTTAAAAAATAGAATAAACTGCAGCAATAAAAAAGAACAAGCTAGGTTAACTGATTAGCCATAGTCCATAGATATCGGTATCAGTTCAGACCGCAGTCAACACTTTCCTCGGTAAAGTGGATGCAGTGAGACACTGAGACCGGTTTTCCTGTTTGTAAAGCCTATTACTAGCCAACCATGCTTTTTAGCCATGACTTCAAAATATAGCTTGGCCTCTTGTGCTTTACTTCTTAGATAATGCAATTCCTGATCAGGAAGTCAAGAGTGATGAGAACACATTTTCTTGCACTTTGCGTTTAACTTTTTTTTGTCCGTTTTTCCTTATGCAGCTCTATGAACTGGACAGTGACCCAAAGAGGAAGGAGTTCCTGGACGATCTGTTCAGTTTTATGCAGAAGAGAGGTATGTGTAAAGAAAATCACCCTTTTCCTGCTCAGAAACATCTCCATATGACATCTTATAGAGTCCTTTATCACTCAGGCCTGTCCAAAGTCTCCCCTTATGCACTGAGATCAACACCCAGCTCATCTTTTTATGTGTATTTTATGTCAAAGCTCTGCAGTTTCCTCTGTTTGTATCATGCTGAAATTGGGCTGTGGCTCCCACATTCATGTGTGATTATAAACGTGGGAGTGCTAACACATGTCTATGTCATGATTGGCCTTGGAACTGCTGAAGCATGTGTTCCCATATACATTTACATAAACCCGCTCCACCAGCTTTGGAAAATGTTCTCCAACAGCTGTTAAACCCTCTCCTGATCTATAAATTAATGACCTGTGAGAATTTTATCAGCCATGTTTTTGCATGGCACAAATGCGTGTCCGACAACCTGCTGCCTAGGAAAAACGCTGACGTTTTCCCAAATAAAGTTTCTTTCTTTTTATAGTGTATATTTTCAAACTGCTCAACGCAGCTGTTTGTTTTTGTGCAGGGACCCCAGTGAACAGGATTCCCATCATGGCCAAGCAGGTGTTGGACCTCTACATGTTGTACCAACTGGTGACAGAGAAGGGGGGCCTGGTGGAGGTCATAAATAAAAAGTTGTGGAGGGAGATCACGAAGGGCCTGAACTTGCCGACCTCCATCACTAGCGCTGCCTTCACTCTCAGAACACAGTAAGTAATCGCTGACACCTCCACTGCAGGAGAAGTGATGTTTACTTACATGTGTACAGCCTGGCATTTATGTAGTCATTATTTAAAGGTACATTTTGGAAATTTTTTGATCAAAAATAAATTGAATACTGTACACAAAAGAAAAGAGTCACAAAAGAGAAAAGTGGCGCCGGCTGCTTTGACGTGTGTATGGAGTGGTAGTGGCATAGGTTAGTTGTCTGCTGGCAAAAAGAGAACGAGACAGAGCTTGTAATAAAACCAGAATAAACATTGCTTGGCTTAGGGCTGTACGATTTTGGCTAAAATCATAATCGCGATTAATCGATTAAGATTATTGAACGATTATTTTAAAAAAAATGTCTTTCTCATATGTCACTGACAAGGCTTATTCTGTAAATATGTATGTATTTTTTTTCTAACCAAAGAGTGCATAATCTTTAAGATTCTAAAATAAGGAGAAACACAGATAGCTTTTAATGCTTATTAAATATTTAACAAAAATGTAGAAAATAGTTATTTTGGTAAATAAAATAAATTATTGTAAATATTGCCATGTTAAAAATAAAATATAACTTGTATAAAACTAATCCTTTTCATATTGTGTAGCATTTGTAAATGCTTGTGTTATGGAAAGCTGCTCTGTGGAGTGGTGGCACTTGTTGCTGGGCGTTTGTCAGTATCTCTCTTTTTCGCGTGTTTCTTTGGAACAAGCAGCTCGTGTTGCTGAGTTGACTCAGTGTTTGAGGAATCAGAGAGTGCGTTTACACACAACCTGCAAAGACACGTGACATGTCTCAGCAGCATCTATAGTTTGCTTATGAGCTGCGATTTTGAAAAACCACGCTTGTGCATTTGTTTTTCTCTGATTCGATCATAAACTAGCGCATTACGTACCGTTCCGTGCTGTTCTGTAATTGAGCTGTAATTAATTTTTTTTTTGTGTGTGATTCCCCTGAGGTTTGAGATTTAGCTACTCCATGTCAATCTTTCTCGCTTATTGTGACAACTAACATAATTATGCCATTTATACTTTGGGCTTAAGACTACATAATACGAGGTGACTCCAGTGAGCCCATCCTTGTAAGAAGACTGCAGGTTGGTTTGTCTGAAAGGGACAATTAGATCATGAATTAGTAGGGAACTTATTGTGTGTTCTTAATTTCTCACCCCTCCGCAGATATATGAAGTATCTGTATCCTTACGAATGTGAGAAGAGGGGTCTCAGCAATCCCAACGAGCTGCAGGCGGCCATCGACAGTAACCGGCGTGAGGGGCGCAGGCAAGGTTTTGGCAGCTCACTCTTCACCTACTCGCCCAATGGAACACCCACCATGCTCTCCTCTCCCAAACTCTCCATGCCACCTATGGGCATCGCCCTGCCCAGCAACGGAGCCTCCATATTATCCTTACAGAAAGTTAAAAAAGGTAAAACCTGCTCACAGACATGCAGAAATAATGCAGAGGATCATGATAACATCTCTTTAACTCTTTCCCCGCCATTGACAAAAATTGTACATCATTTGTGAGAAAACACTTTTCCGCCATTGAGAGAATTTCACGTCTTTTGTGTTTTCACTGTTATACGGTTGGGGTCACTTTAAAACCTCTTCTCAAAGAGTACTGAATCTCCTGTTCAAAACACTGGCAAAGAAGCAGCAGAAACAAGCGAAAGCGATTGTAAGCATATCCATATGTAAAATACTTTTTTTTTTTTTTTAAATGCTGCTGCTGCTGAGTCTGACTGGCAGCTTTTTTTTTTTTTTTTTTTTTTTTTCAAAAATGCTGGTGGGGAAGGAGTTAATGACATCTTGGTGTACACATATCCTTTAATGTTGCCATATGGTTTGCTTTATTTCAAATGTGTAACTCTTTCTCCATTGTAGAGGATGACGGGGTTCGTCTGCCAGTGTCTCTGGCTAGTCAGACAGTAGCTGCGGCCCAGGCTGCAGCTGCACAGGCCACCATCGCACAGGTAGCTGCACTGGAGCAGCTGCGGGACAAGCTGGAGTCAGGCGAGCCCCCGGAGAAGAAAGTTGCGCTACCACTGGAGGAACACCAGCGGCTACTGCAGAGAGCTCTGCAGCACAACCTGCTGGCTATGACGGCACAAATCCCTATGAACATTCGCATCAACAATCAAGGTAATGACCAGTTTTGTGCAAGTTACTTCCAAACTGTAATACATTAGGTATTACTTGTTACTGTTATTTAAAAGTAAATCATTACCTTACAATATTACTGTCTCAGAATTGTAATGCGTTACATTACTCATGTATTACTTTTGAGTTACTTTCACCAAAATAAGTAAGTAGAACTTAACTTTTGGGCTGTAACGATATGCAATATGAAACCAAAATCGCGATTCGCCACACGACTCAGATCCACGAACCTACAGAATCGCGACACACCTCTTCCAACTCCCAGCGTTATTCTCCTTACCGTCCAGATCCAATGCTGCCTTATCTTTAAATTAGGCTATTAGTATTATTTGAAGTTAACATTATAAAATACGTAGACCTACACCACAAAACTAGTTGAGGATAATTATTTAAAATTGGGTCCAGCATTATGGACATGACATTTGTAGTCAAAACTTGAAATAAAAATTCTCAGAAAATACATGTATTGAAACGTATATAGGCTACTTCCTTAAAGGACTCCAGACATTAGACAAATATCAGTCTATGTTTTATTTTTAATATTAGGGAAAAGACACACATTCATGCGTGACAAAAAAATAGGAGGCAAAATATATTTTTTGTAATTCTGTTAATTGCACTGCGCAAATCGGATGAGGAAGGGTTGGCTCTCCAGTCTCCATAGAACTTAAAATATTCATTTTATTTTAGTTTTCGTGTTCGCATTTATGAGGAAAAATCAATGTTACAGACGCGACCGCTCTGAACTGGCACTAAAAGACTGCTTTAAAACTTTCACACAGTCTGTTGCCTTTAAGAAGTAAAAGCAGACAATACACTGTAATACAACTGTAATACAAGCCTCACTGAACATGTAACGAGTAAAATATTACTGAAAAATGATTAGTAATGCCTTACACTACTGCGTTACAGCAAAAACTAATATGTTACTGTAATGTATTACTTTTGTAATGCGTTACTCCCAACACTGGTAATGACACTTTAACATTCTGGGCTCCAGGCAAGTGATGAACCAAATATATTAGTAAGGATGTGCAGACAAATTTTAAAACCAACTAGACCAGGGCTGGGCTCCACTGAGATCCAATTTTCTTGCAGAGTTTAGCTCCAACCCCAATCAAACTCACATGCCTGTAGCTTTCTAGCAGAGATGGCCTCATTATTGGGAGAGAACAGGATCTGTGGCTCTTCAATTGGAAAAAGCCTAACGGCCAACTTGGATCACAGGTCTCTGGATGACCAATCAGCTTGAAGTCATGGAATTTCTTTCAGAGTTGTGTGACTGGTAGTCACTGTTTGCATACAAAAAAGTCTGTGATAACTCTTATAAAACAGACGTTTTTCCTAAAGTTTAATGGCAAACGTATGTTGAAGATTAGCTGATACCCAGCAAACACAGAACCCTAACGTTCCCAAATGGTCCCATGAGGTTATTTATTTTTTTTGGGAACCAAACAAGAATGTTATAGAACGTTCCATGTAGGTTAATTTTACGTTCCATTTTTATAACGTAAGGAGAACGTTCCGGGAACCTTAATGGAAAGTTCTAGGAACGTTCTGGGAACCAAAAACTAACGTTCCCAGAACCTATAATTTGTTTGCTGGGTAGGCGATTGAGTCTTTAAATAAGCTGTTTTCTAACAAAAGCAGTTTATTCAGTGTAGTGAAGCCTCTCCTCCATTGACATCCATTCAAAAAGACAGCAACCTTGAAGGTCTTAAATTGATTTTGTTTCTAGTAATCCAGGGTCGGAGGTAAACTCTGCACGAAAATAGATCTTGAGGGCTAGATTTGCCTAGCCCTGGACTAGACCGAAGGTTGCTTGACTAATCTGTCTTAAAGGGGTAGTTCACCCAAAAATTTAAATTATGTCATTTATGACTCACCATCATGTCGTTCCAAGCCCGTAAGACCTCCGTTCATCTTTGGAACACAGTTTAAGATATTTTAGATTTAGTCCGAGAGTTTTCTGTCCCTCCATTGAAAATGTGTACGGTATACTGTCCTTGTCCAGAAAAGAAATACAGACATCATCAAAGTAGTCTATGTGACATCAGTTTTTTGAAGCATCGAAAATACATTTTGGTCCAAAAAATAGCAAAAACTATGACATAAGACATTCGTTCATCATCAAAATACAGATTAAGATATTTTTAATTAAGCTTTACTGTAGAGATTTCTGGTTCTCCACTAACTTTCATTCAACCAAATCTTTCAAGCTTCAAAAACTTGTAAAAAATAATCCATATGCATCAAGCCGTTTAATTTAAGTCTTCTGAAGAGACTCAATCGCTTTAGGATGAACAGAATAAACATTGGTCAGCACACATACATATAAAGCATACGAAATCTGGTAAACAGAAGCTCCACTGTACCCATGAAAGCCAATGAGGTTTGTTCTCACATTGCGTGCAAACACGGTTGAGCTTGTGCAAGAACCAATGAGGTTTGTTCTCGTACATCAAGCAAGCTATTGTTGAGCTGCCATTTACCATATTTGATGTGCTCTACGTATTTGCGCTGATCATTACCATGGAGGACATTCTACATACTATAATGTTACGCATTTGCTGAATTAAGAAATTTGCAAATATCTTTGTTTTGATGTGGTGTACTAATTTATGCTGTTATCCGTCTGTCTGTGTATATGTATATAAAAATAGAGAGAGTACGCAGCATTAATTAGTACACCATCTGTTAACATAAAGATGCATACCGGTACATATTTCTTAATTCAGTAAACGTGTAACATTCTATATATAAATACATATAGTACGATCAAATATATTCAGATACATTGTAATGTGCGTTGAAACATAATCATTACAGTTAGCCTACATAGAGTTGCCTCAGTTTGCATTCTTACTGTGGTTTTATCTTTTCCCATAAACACCAACCTGAGAAAAAACACCTTTTTATAAAACGTCTGATGATTCAGGGAAACCTGTGTGCGGAATATCCAACTTCTGGTTCCTGAGGTTATGAAATGAACTCGGTGTGTTTTCTAGTGCAGTACTGCAAAGCCCCTCTTACATCATCATTCACTGGTACTAACTATTTTGTAGAAAAGTGTGTGAAAATATTACCACAGACTAAATTACTGGCATGTGGTGAGTGCACTTTGCAGATCAGGTAGAGATGTCAGCCTCCTTCTGTAGTGTGAGTCATTAGTCTGAGCTTTCATTATCCCACACAGTAGTAACTCTAGTACTGTTCTTACTAAATGCTGTTCTTGTGAATGGGGAAAGAGGATGTGTAAAAGTGCTCTGATTAGATCTTATCAGAGTTGAAATTTGGACTGATGCATTTATCTGATTCATTAGACGACTAGAGGTGTTGACCCATTTTTAAACCGCAAAGACAAAAATACAAGTCAAATAGCTTTTCTTTTGTGGGGAATCCCTGCCTCAACTAAGATTAATTTCCTTTTCTTGGTTAGAGGTGTTAAATGCTTGAGGTTTCACCTTGCATATTTTATCGGAATATGAATAAGAGACTGAGCAAATTCCCCTTGTTACTGCATGTGAACTGTTTGCATTGTTTTTAAAGTTGTTTGATGGCTGAGAAGTAGCGCCCCCTGCTGGTAGCCAGTATGCTTTCAGATTATACGTTCTGAATGCTACAGAGGATTATTACTTTTGCACATACTTTGGGTTAGTGATTTGTATAAATCCCCACCCATGTATTAAATGTTGGCACTTAACTTGTACTAGACTGTGGCTACGTCCGCATTAATCCGGATACATTTGAAAACGGGGTTTTCGTTTAAAAACGCTCTCCGTCCACACTAGCGTTTTCAGGCATTTTCCGACGTTTCAGTGTGGGTGAGAAACTTCTAAATTCACTTTACTGCGCATGCGTGAAACTTCACAATCTCACTGAGATGATACAGGTGGGAAAATAAATAATAATGTTATCGCACCATTACAGGATAATTTTATTTCGCAAAATATCTCACCATCACTGATGCGTCCAGGTCGCGAATTCAGTCACCATATGTTTGGTCATCTTTGCGGGACTGTGCTATGAAGAATAGCACATATTAAGTAACATAGAAACCCAGGTAGCAAACTGACATTGAATCAACGTGGAAATATGACATCGAAACAACGTTGATCTGACATTGTTTTGCTCATCGAATTAACGTTGAACCAACTTCAGACGCGTCATTCTTTCAAAACTAACGGAAAATCAACTTGAAATCAACGCGTTGTTTCAACGTTATGAAAGCAAACCAATTTTCGATTTTCATTTAGCTTTGAAGAATGCCGCGTCTGACGTTGGTTCAACGTTAATTCGATGAGCAAAATCAACGTTGTTTCAATGTCACGAGAGACGTCGTTTCCACGTTGATTCAATGTCAGTTTGCTGTCTGGGAAGTAACATATTTTAACATAACCGGCACAATACCGATAAACATGAATATCTATTGGTACTACATGGATCACATGACTAAACTTACGTCATCGTTTTGAAATACCTCCGGTTTCACTGTCCACACTATCAAATTTATCCACTTTGGAGAGCGTTTTCCAAACGATACGTTTTTGTTGACTTAAAACGCCGTCTCGGTGTGAACGGAAGGCCAAAACGGAGAGAAAAATATACGTTTTTGTATATTTTAGTGTGGACATGGCCTGTGTTGCATAAATTAGTAAGGAGTGTGGTGCTATTACTTTTCCAAAGTGAATCCGCTTTTATTCAGATGTAAACTGTTTGTTGTCCATCAGAGAGCAGACCAGACTCTGCCATGAACCTGACTACCAATGGCCTAAACAGCATCAGCATGTCTTTGGAGCTCAATGGAGTCGTCTACACTGGTGAGGAGCCTGTCATCACCACATATATTTTGTGTGTGTTCAAGTTCGCCCTTGTTTTGATTGTGACCAATCTTCCTGTTTTCTCATAACAGGTGTTCTCTTCGCTCAGGCTGCGGCGCAGACCTCATCGGGTGCATCTAACAAATCTTCTCAGTCAGTTCTCCACACGCCTACCTCATCCTCCTCCAACAACCAATCGCCTTAGCACCTCAGACTCTCTCCCTCAATGCAAAACCAAAATCTCAGTTACTACAGAAGATATGCCAAAAACTAGTCAGGAATAACTGAATCGTTCTCAACTTGAAGTACACTAGCTCAGGTCTTTTATTTACACGCTCCTTTGTTCAGGAGTCAAAAGAAATCTAAAATAACAACAGAGTTTATTATAAAGATAATGTATATGCAAAACCTGTGAATAATTTATTTCTCTTTCTGTGAGCACACTGTCTGGCGTTAACAAGGCAGTAGGATTCTGCTTTTTAGGGTTTTATAATCGCTGACTGATGAAAGCTTTTCATCTATAAGCAAAACCATAACAATAGTGGGATTGTTATAACGTGTGATGCAAACAGCTTAAGGGTCTGAACTAATAATATATTGTTATAGATTTTATTTTCCCTGTGTATGTATCTGCAGTGCCTTGTGAAGGTTTTTCCTCAGCACACTTTGAATGTGCTGTTGACAGGCGAGCGTCTAAACTTCAGCGCCAACACAATACAAAGTGCTTAAAGACGTGGAGGTTTTTTTTATTGCAAGTATTCAACCATTTGATTTCCCATCTCAGAGGTCTGCTCTGTGATGGTGTTAATGATCTTAATTTCGGGCAGTGAACATTAATGCTAAGGAACTCATTTAAAAAAATTGTTGGCATGCATTTGTAGATGTGTATAATTGCATTATGCATAATGTTTTCATAATTCATGTTTGTTTTGGCAAACTCTGGAGGCTGCGTTCTCCATGAGCCTCGCAACGGTGGCTGGGGCATCGCAGGGACCGAACGGCGTTACCTGGAACTGCCACAGCCCACAAACTTTTTTGGCCCATGGTTGCTCTAAAGCAGAATTGGAAGTAGTTCAGAGGTTATTTTACTTGCGCTTGCGCTTTCACTCAGATCAGTAGTAGCATGACAGTTTGATTATACGTTCTTCTTAAGATTTAAACAAGCAATTCATCCTGTGTTTGATTACTACACTAACTGGAGATTTAGTGTTGAGTGTCATTTAGGGGTCCAACAATGCAGCCTTTGCTTCAGTTTTTGGTTCTGTATTTTTAACAAAAAACCCAACAGCACAAATCAGAGAAAATTCGAATTACAATGGGATGTTTTGAAAGTGCAAAGTGTCTTGAGCAGAATGGATTATTCTCTTCTAAAGGGATTTAGTTTTTTTAGGTTGTTTTAATCATGCCATCAACTGCTCCGGACAGTAAGGTCTTTTTCCTGTCCTTATCAACTTGTAGCTGCAATTTATTGTCAAGCTCTTCTAGCATTACACTGTATGCAAGGTCAAAAAAACTCACTTGGTGGGCATCTAGGGGTGAAACTTTCTTTTTTTAATTGATACAAACATGGTAGTCTTTCATCTGAAATTGAATAATTTAGTTTGCATTTCAAGTTAGTTGATGGAAAATGGTGTTTCCAGACGCTTAAAGCTTTATTTTTATCCAAAACAGCTTGCAGGTACAGATTCTTTGGAGAAACTTAAATGCCTTGATCTTTTATTTGGGATCAAACTTGTGGCCTTTGCTTTCACTGATGAGATCCTTAACCGTCAAGCTACCGCATCCTCTTTGAATGCTCACTCTTGAAGCAAACCTTTATTATTCACAAGGACCATAGTTGCTGTACAGGACACAGTCTAGAAAAGGTTGTTAACTGTTTCTGTCTGTATTGTACAACTGTACATATTAGTTTTGTTTTGTTTTTTTCTCTATTTATGTCAGGACAATCACACATCAAAGTCATTACTGCCAAATCTCTACCTCAAAGACTCATTTATCAGCTCAGAATTGTTTGCAAGCCTTCATAGTTTGCCACTTTTCACATGGATTTACTTGCTGTGAAGTAGAACAGGACATGCATGTCCACTTTTATTCTGTTAATTTGAAAATATTAGCCATGATATCCATAAAGCTCCTTCTTGCTTGTAAAATGGCACATTGAGATCATGGAATTTTTCCCGTTTCATCTGCCAGTCTGCCTTTTAGAATCAAATCCCTCAACTTTTAAGTGACCATTGTTTTGTAACAGTAGTTTTTCATTATAATGGCCTTTAGTGTATTTCAATCAGAGATGCTGTTTTTGCTTTCTTTCTTAGGAGAGTAAGACAGATACACACAACACCCATTTAAAGCAGTTGGTATCCATAAGAGGGATGTCGGATCTGTTTTCACTTTGATGTATGCCTTAAAGTAGGCACGTTTTAAAACTTAAATATAGCATGCTAATGTAGTCAACTTTATTGCCAGGACAACCAAAATTGCTGTACAATACAACTTTGCTATTAATGCAGGATGCCTTATTCTTTGATATTTCTTGAGCTTTTCTCTTTTCAGAACTTAACATTACACTAAAAAAATCAAGTAATTCACATTTCCAATACATAGACAGCTGTGAAATTAAGGATTTATGTTAAGAAAAGGCATTTGTTGTCTTCTCAGGAAATACAATTCTACCTCTAGTTATACAGAAATATTCATCTTAGTGCTGTGGTCAGTGCATATAACATTTATTTTACCCTTTTATAATGGTAATGGTAAATGTTTCCCTTTGCTCACTGACACAAGGGTTTTTATTAATTGCAAGTATATTATATGAATTTTGTTCTTTTCTTTTTAAAAATCTCTATCCCTTTTTTTATGTGAGTGCTTTTGAGTTTTGGCTTGCTTAGTTTGAATCTGAAATTGCTCCTTGGAGAGACCAGGTTTTGGTTACGGTGCTGAACGTACCACTGATGCATCATTCTGTGTTTCCACTTGTGCGTTTTTAAAACGTTTGAATTGCTTAGTGTCGACCTCTTGACTGTTTCTATTAGTGGTGAAGGACAAAGACAATCCTTAGCTTTTTCTTGTGTATCGCTATGTAATTGGGGGAAAGGGGATCTGACGAATGTCACAAAAGTGCTGTTATGGGATATTATGGATTCAAATACTCTATAACCTATATTTTAGGAAATCGTCTCACAACAACTGTACCTCTCTCAGTCTGAATTCTGAAAACCCAGAAAATGACAATAAACGCACACCTCAACACATTTGAAAACAAAATGCAGTTAACAGACAAAACAGATTTTTTTTTTTTTTTTTTTAACTGAAGTTATTGCCTTTTTATATGATGTAATGTAATCGTACTTCTGGAGCTTCAGTTTGGGTGTGTCTGTTTTCTGTTGTGTTATTGCCCTGTTTAAAAGAGACAGTTCATGTTCATGAGTTTTGTTGTTTCAGAATTTGCAAAATGTACTCTCTCAACGTTTACATTTTATAATTGTCAAGCATCAGATCTGTCAATGTTTGATTTTTCAAAATTGAGATCTTCAGCTGTTAACATTGAATACAATAAAATGTAATTCTGATGTAATGTTGGTGCAGTTCTTGATTCTTTTCCATTTTAAACCCCTCCATATTATAGAAACATGTCAGCGCAAATTTGTGAAAAGTTCTTGTTCAGAGAGAACTTTTAGAGGTACGGAATGACTTTTTTTACACCAAAATGAAACCATGCTTTTAAATTGCACATTAAAAAGTATTGTAACAATCAAGTGTTGGTGATAATTCTTTACAAGTAATGTGAGTTAATCAGATTACTTTTGTAACTAGTAAAGTAATACATTAAATTAATTCAATTTACAATAAAATGTCTGTTACTTTTCAAATTTGTAATACAAGTTACTTTCTGTCCCTATGAGAAATCAGTAAGTGCAGAGGAGTTGTGTGCGTTGTGTGAACATGATGCTAGTTCTAGACTAACATGCATGTTAATATGTGAACATGCATTTGCTCATCTCACTGAAAAACAGATTCAGTATTCCTCAAAATGAATAAAAACCTAGAAATGCAAACTCTGAATATTACACAAACCTGCAATAATTAATTGTATTTAATCTAATTTTATTAACCAATGAATAATAGGCAAAAAATGACTAAAGTCTTCAAATAAACATCACATTTGTTTCATTTTTTTATTGCTGAAGTAAGAGTGTTGATCTTTCTTCTGGTTCTATTCTTCAGTAATCCAGAAGAGCAGCATATCTAAAAGGGTGTTTGTTTTTTTTTGTTTGTTTTTTTTGTTTTTTTTTTTTTTTAGCTGCACCTCTACTGTACATGAATGAATTTGCTTTTGCACTTTTGGTGTGAAAGGGCCTTTATATTTGCCAAAAATAAAACTTTTTTTGTTATTAAGAAAAACAAGCAAACCCAGCCCATGTGAGAAAAGTTAACGTAATGCATTACTTTCCGTACTAGGTTATGAAATTAGTTACATTTTTAGGAAGAAACAATATTCTAATGCATTACTTTTAACAGTAACTTTCCCCAACACTGATAACTATACACTTAAATATGCACACATTTTCTTATTTTGTCCAACAAAAAAAATAATAATCATAATTGTCAAAATTCAGTTCAACAAAACACATTGAATGTGTAAATGATTAACCTATAACCTTCAGGTTTGACACCATATTGAATTTAGATGAACAATGTATGGTGTTAAACAGTACAGTTCATTGAACACATTTTTGATCCCTCACAGCCTTATTTTCATTCCTGTCGAAATCTAAATTGATTAAGGTTCATTTAAAGGAATATTTAATCCCCTTCCAGGCCACATTTAAAGGGATGGTTCACCTAAAAATAAAAATCTGTTGTCATTTTGTTCCACCTGTATGAAGTCCTTTTTCTGCAGGTATAATAGCATGTATTTTTTTGGTAACAGTTGATGGAACCCATTTACTTCCATAGTAGCCTATTTTTTTTTTTTTTTTTTTTTTTTTTTCATACCATGGAAGTCAAAGGGGTCCATCAACTGTTTGGTTACACATTTTCTTCAAAATATCTTCTTTTGTGTACATGACGCATGCATATAGGTTTGGAGCAACTTCATGGTAAGTGATGATAAAATTTAAGAAAAAGAATGAAAAACATTATTAGCCGTAAAATTCAAGAAGAAAAATGTCACACTTTTCAGACTGGATGGAGAAATCCAGGTTTATTAGGCTAATGAATGAATGAATGAATGAGGCATTTATAGCCAAGCCCTGGCCTAGCGCTTATGTCTACTAGGCTTACACTCAAAGCGCTTTACAATCATATCAGAGAATCTCTCCTCAACCATTAGTGGTTATTAAATCTTAGGAAATCACAGGATCCGGCCAAATGATTTGATACAGAATGATGCACCAAAAAATGTATCCAGAGCATATTTACGACGAAGAGGGAGACAAAACGGTTGTTGTTTACTCGACCCAGATTGATAGTGTTGACTAGACGAGCACGAAAACACATCAGAAAACAAAGTGCCAAACTGCCGTGTGACGCGTGTAAAATTTTGTTGAAAGCCCAGATAAAATTAAAAAGCTACTATTTTTTGTTAATCCATGGCAGTTCTTCTTCTTCTTCTTCGTTTTATGGCAGATTGCAACCAATCCATGGCAGTTCGACTTTACAAGTGCATTTCTTTACACAGACAAACACGCGGGCGCGCTCTGAACCAGTGGACGCACACTACTATGAATGCACACACTTCTATGGAAGACTGTCGTAATGTTTTGACATTATTCTCGAAATGCTTTATTTTTTTTTCAGTTGCGGTTCAGGGCTTCCGTATTTTCATGAAACATATTGGAAAATGTCATTAAATAAAATATGTAGGTATTTGGTGAAGTTGTCTGTGCTGCCAAAAATGACTTCCCAAAAAAAAAAAAATTGACTTCCCCAATGAAACCGAATGAGATTTGCCCTGTCGATGTGACTTCCGCGTCACGTTGCGCCGTTGTTCTTTGAGCTTGAGGTCTGATTGGCTACTGCGCGATTGTGTTTTTTCATCAGTTTAAACTGAGGTCAGGCAGTCTGGAAACAGCGAGACGAAGCCAGTCAATGCAACTCTTGATCTACTTCATTATTCCTGCGAGTTTAAAGTGTTTTGTTCCGTTGACGACATCGTTTAATCAGGGCTGCGGGGAAAATGAGACTTCGCTCAAGAAATATTTTAAATGAAAACCCATCTACACCGTGCCGCCGCCGACGAGCCGCTCCGTTGAGCCCGAGCCCTCAGACTCCGTTGGTCAACCAGGTCAGTCCTGCTGTAACGTTATTGAACACCAGATATGAAAACAAAACGTACGTGTGTTTGGTGTGATTGAGTAGTTATGCGCATTATGAGTGATTGATTGTACTTGCCTGGGTTAGCACGATGCTAACGTGCTAGCTATATGATTTAAAGCAAGAGATATTCGGATTTCGGACCGACATTAAACTACGACAATATAATAATGTTTCATCAAAACATGAAATGCAGAACAGGGTATAGTTCATATGAATAATAATGATCTGTGTTTGCTGCTGGTAAAAATTTCTCAGCGTTGTCCCAGATGTGTTTTGGACAGGGCCTGTTCTCACAGTGTAGCCAATAAGATTTCAGTATTATTGAATTGGAACGGGAAGTTGTGTCTCGGCCAATCAGCCTCTCTGTATATAATCGACGGAGGAGCACGTGGATCATGTAGTTGTTGTTGATTATTTATAATTTCTGTAATTTTGATATCCAAAGGTAAACATTTTAAGTTTTTAATTTTAATTATTCATATGAAATCTGTACCATTCTTAATAGGTTTATTAACTGGCTGTTTTTTTTTATCCATCCTTGTTTTAGGATAAAGTAAACCTTCTTCAGGACTGCCCAAATCTGGATCCTGAAGACATCCCAACAGCAGCCAAACGTCCACGGAGGAGAAAAGCTTTATCAACTGTTGACAGTAAAGGTACACCATTTTGTTTGACAAACTAATGTTATTTAAGAGTCCATTAATGATGATATTATATTAAGAAATCATGCTCGCCACTGTGTTTTTAGAGTCAGATTTCAAGACTCCAGTTCGTCACCTTCGGGAAAGGCATTCTTTATTGAATCCTGCTGCTCGGAGCCTCTACTCCCCTGCAGTTCACTTTCTCACACCACCAAGAGACAGTGAGTGCATTTAAACTTTTACATAACTTAATCTAGTCAAATGTCGTGAAACTATAAGATATATCATATCTTACATTTTTGATGCACTTATTCCCTTTTTTCAGAACTGATCCAATACCAAAAATTCGGAGTATCGGCTCAAACTGATCTGATATCAGCAAAGTGATTTTAAAAAAAAGAGAGAATTTCTATACCTCTGTGTTGAACTGATAATTAGGGCCCAAGCCCTGAAAGGGCGAAGGCCCTATTGTTTTCCTTGGGATTATTAGGGCCCAAGCCCTGAAAGGGCGAAGGCCCTATTGTTTTCCTAAGGATTATTTATTATTAGGGCCCAAGCCCTGAAAGGGCGAAGGCCCTATTGTTTTCCTAAGGATTATTTTTCTTTAGTATTATTATTTTACTACCTTTTTGGCACTTTTGGGGCCCTTAACATGCTCAAAAACTCTTGAAACTTTGCACACGGGTCAGAACCCGCGGCCATCAGAGCCGGGCTGAAGCTGGTACCTGGGCGTGGCAGGGGGGCTCGTCAGCGCCCCCTGGAACGGGGTCCGAACACTCAGTCCATAACTCAAACACGCTTGCATGTAATAATATGAAACTCGGTACACATGTTGATCTCATCGTTTCATCTATACCTCGCGCTCTTACTTTTTACCCCAGCCCAACAGGAAGTCAGCTATTGAGGTTTGTTTGTAAAACGCTCGCAATGGTATTTGAAATACTCCTCCTAGAGCTTTGATCCAAATTCGACGAAACTCGGTCAGTGTGAAGTCAAGACATTGAGGATGAAAGTTTGCGAGGGGATTTTTGATATCTCGAACGGTTTGTCCGTGGCGAGGAAATGAAATCATGGCGAGAAATGTGAAACAGGAAGTGTGTTATAACTTTAGCATACATTAACTGATCTTGATGAAACTTCAGCAGTGTGTTCGCTGTAAGAGGACGATCACATGGATGTGACTATTGTGAGTCAAAGTTATAGCGCCACCAACTGGCAGCAGGAAGTGTGTCACTTTCAAAATGCTTTGAAATCACCCTTTTATTTTTACCCGATTTGCTTCAAACTTCATCTGTATAATGTAAACATAGGGCAGATGTAGACCTGTGAATGGATTCTTGATATCTTTGAAAACTGTTGCCGTGGCGACGCATCAAACTTTACCATTCTTTTAGGATGCTTTTGAGACCCTTAGCATGCTTTAAATTGCATGAAACTCGACAGACACATCACATTTATTAGCCAGTAGACATGTGCAAAGTTGCAGAAACAGGCGTGGTGAGGGCTCAGTAGCGCCACCTTTTGACAAAAGTGGGGTTGTTAGTTTTATCTACAGTTACAAAAATCGGTATGTATATTGTACTCCTCGAGCCGGACAACTTTCTAATTGACACTCATTAGCTAGGACCCACAGAAAGTCAGATATGTTTGTTTGAATGTAGAGAAAATCTCAGAATTTTGCCAGTGTCTCAGTGTCCCTCTGTGTGAGTGAGAGGAGGGGCGCCTGTCAGGTTAATTTTAACCCTTTATTTGCTGTGTGCGACTTCTCTGGCATTTTTGGGGGCCTTAACATCCTCGAAAACTCTTGAAACTTTGCACACGGGTCAGAACCCATGGCCATCAGGGCCGGGCTGAAGCTGGTAACCGGGCGTGGCAGGGCGGCTCGACAGCGCCCCCTGGACTGGGATTCGAACATTTGACCATAAATCAAACACACTTGCATGAATTAATATGAAACTCGGTACAATTATAGATCACATCAGGCCAAACAACTTTCGTGCTCTAAGTTTTATGACAGTTCAAATGGAAGTTATTTATGAATTATGAATTATGGGTTGTTTGAATAATTGTCCTAGGAGAAATACATCAAATCACAATGCATGTGTTTACCAATCACAACCAAACTCGGTGTGCATGAAGTCAAGACATTGAGGATGCTCAATTCCGGACGGATTTTTGATATCTCGAACGGTCTGGCCGTGGCGAGGAAATGAATTTTATGACTAAAAAAGGACACATAAAGTGTGTTATAACTTTGCTCAATTTACCTACAGTTACAAAACTTACCACGTATATTGTTCTCGTCAAGCCTATCAACTTTCCAATTTAAAGTCATTCGCTCTGAGCAACAGAAAGTCAGATATTGTAGTTTCAATGGATTTATTTCCCCTGCGATTCTCTCTCTCTCTCTCTCTCTGTGTGTGTGTGTCTGTGTGGGGAGGGGAGGGCTGTTGTCTGTGTTTATGTGTGTGTGTGTGGCTGGCTGTGATTTTTCCTACAAGTCCTTGTCTCTAAGTCCTTGTCTTTTTGCATAACAATTTGCATAACAATATTTTTAAATGACAAAATAGGCATATAACCCCCATCTTTTAAATGTATAGTTTGCTTTAAATAAAAGTAAGATTGTATTTGTAATTGAAGTTGAATGAATTTAAAATTCATGTGCTATATTTCAATATATTTGTTTTCCTTAAGATTTTAAAACACTAACTTCATTCTTATCTGAATTACAAATATTTGTTTCTGTATAAAATAATACTCTGACTAAAAACACATTTGATGTTTTTTTTTTGGTATTTTTATTTACATGTATTTATGTGTGTGTGTGTGTGTGTGTTTGTATAAAGTGCAGGGTTTTTTTTAGATAAAGTAGAATTTCTATAACTATGTGTTGAACTAATAAATCACTCTTGTGTGTTAAACACAATCTACTTAATACAGACAACTTCATTATAAAGATAAATAACAAATCCAAAAAATATATTATTATAATCTATGACAAAAAAAGCCATTACAAACTATATTAATGGAAAATACACATTGCTCTTTGTATTGTTGTAAAATATTCATGAAAAACAAGATGACAAAAATCAAAAAGATAAATTATTTTAGATATAGCCATGTTTTAAATGTATAGCAGAGATGTTAATTGAGGCAGCAACATACAAACTTTCTAGAACAACATGGACCTGGATAGCTGGTTTTTATGGAGGACAGTGAAGAGGAAGAGGGTGCAAATCAAACAGCTCATTCTCAGACTACACAGCAAACAGCTTAAGTTTTTAGTGCTTTGTTTGAGGTTTTTAGTGCTCTGTCCTATCTATTATCAACATATAATAGATGGAACAGAACAAGAAAGGCAATTAATAATCTGTCATTGCGTCACTGCATTATGATATGAAAGGCTCAGTACAGTGTGGCACAAAACGCTTATGCGCATCCCGAGTGGAGAATGATGCGCTTAAAGCCACATGGAGTTACAGCGCACAGCGCATCGAGTCCGCATTGATGCAAGCTCTACAATACACTTCTTTTTGATAGTCAAAGCGGGGGTTACGTTTTTACACGTCGTACAGAATAAACCTAAAGGCACCAAGGTGGCGGTGCCACCGGCTTTATATTAAATATAAATATAGCTGTGAGCAGCGATAAAGGGCCAAAGCCGGCGGTACCACCATCCCGGTGCCTTTGGGTAACTAAAGGCATCAGGGTTGCGGTGCCACCGGCTTGGGCCCGCAATCGCTGCTCGCAGCTATATTTATTATTTTGTAACCTTTTGGGCATTTTTGGGGCCCTTAACGTGCTCGAAAACTCTTGAAACTTTGCACATGGGTCAGAACCCGCGGCCATCAGAGCCGGGCTGAAGCTGGTACCCGGGCGTGGCAGGGCGGCTCGTCAGCGCCCCCTGGAACGGGGTCCGAACACTTGGTCCATAACTCAAACACGTTTGTATATAATAATATGAAACTCGGTGCACATGTTGATCTCATAGTTTCATCTATACCTCGCGCTTTTACTTTTTACCCCAGCCCAACAGGAAGTCGGCTATTGAGGTTTGTTTGTAAAACGCTCGCAATGGAATGTTAAATACTCCTCCTAGAGCTTTGATCCAAATTCGACAAAACTCGGTCAGCATGAAGTCAAGACATTGAGGATGAAAGTTTGCGAGGGGATTTTTGATATCTCGAACGGTTTGGCCGTGGCGAGGAAACGAAATCATGGCGAGAAACGTGAACCAGGAAGTGTGTTATAACTTCAGCATACATTAACTGATCTTGATGAAACTTCAGCAGTGTGTTCGCTGTAAGAGGACGATCACATGGATGTGACTATTGTGAGTCAAAGTTATAGCGCCACCAACTGGCAGCAGGAAGTGTGTCACTTTCAAAATGCTTTGATATCACCCTTTTATTTTTACCCGATTTGCTTCAAACGTCATCTGTATAATGTAAACATACGGCAGATGTAGACCTGTGAATGGATTCTTGATATCTTTGAAACTGTTGCCGTGGCGACGCATCAAACGTTACCATTCTTTTAGGATGCTTTTGAGACCCTTAGCATGCTTGAAATTGCATGAAACTCGACAGACACATCACATTTATTAGCCAGTAGACACGTGCAAAGTTTCAGAAACGGGCGTGGTGAGGGCTCAGTAGCGCCACCTTTTGACAAAAGTGGGGTTGTTAGTTTTATCTACAGTTACAAAAATCGGTATGTATATTGTACTCCTCGAGCCGGACAACTTTCTAATTGACACTCATTAGCTAGGACCCACAGAAAGTCAGATATGTTTGTTTGAATGTGGTCTTGCTCAATCTGAGCCTACATGTCTTTGCCTGTCTGTGCATGTGTGTGTGTTTGTAGGGGGAGGGGTCTTAACCATTTCACTCCTGTGTGTATGGCCTGCATAAAAAATAAATGCCTTAAGCCTGGTATTTTTTTAAATAAGTTTTTTATTTTTTATAAGTAAAGGCATATAACCAGTTTAATTGTAGTGCATTAATAGTTTTATATAATTAGTTTATTAATTAAATTAACTTGGTCCATAAACTTGATCTGAAAATTTGGTCCATAAATCAAACACACTTGCATGTAATAATATGACTTGAGTGTTAATCACATCATGTTTTCAGTTTGAATATAAAATATATAAATTATGTAAAAAAAAATAAAGTTGATCCAGCTGGAGCGCAGGCTGAGAATAGCGCTGTCATGACTG